CCAGCTACTTGGGAGGCTGAGGCAGGAGACTCGCTTGAGCCCAGGAGTTGGAGGTTGCTGTGAGCTGTGATGCCATGGCACTCTACCCAGGGGGGATAGCTTGAGGCTCTGTCTCAAAAAATAAATAAATAAATAAATAAATAAATAAATAAATAAAATGGGGTTTCACCGAGGTGTTTAATGCAGTTTCATATATGTAATATATATACATTACATATATATATACACACACACACAGAGATGGAGGGAGGGAGAGGAAGAGAGAGAGAGACACTGATTCATTAGGATTCTTGAATATATGGCTTGATATTTTTCAAGTTTTCCTAAAAATTGTCAGTATGTTTTGTCAAATCATGCTTCCTCCCTGTTGTGTCTCTCTTCCCTTTCTCGGACATCAATTAGATATTTATTAGACATTGCCACTATATTCTCTATGTCCCTTCATTTCTTTTTCATACTTCTATCTCTTTTTCTCTTTGTGCTGCATTCTAGATAATTCTCTCACCTCTGTCTTCTGAAGGAGCTCAGGAAATTTTACCCCCAAATATGACTACATAAAGAATATTTTGAATTAAAGGCCATTCACAATCAGAAAGCACTGGAAAGGGCTTTCCTTCTATCTGCATAAAACCGGACTGACCAGATCAGGGGATGAAGGGGACGACTGGTTTCCTTTCCTCTCCCTGAAAGCTAGAAGACCTTTGAAAACACAATACCTGTCTCTCAAGTTAATTTATGAGTCAATCTGTTTTGCCCACCTATTCATCCTCCCTAACCACCACTTGCCTCACCCATAATCCACCTTCTCCCTCTCCCGCCTTCAAAAGGCATCTGACCTGCATCTATCAAGGCATCGAACCATCTTTGAGACATGGGTAATCAATTCTTCTGGTTCTCCCCATGGGTATGGTATTTGGAAATCTGCCCTAATTGTGAATTGGTCTTTCAGCCAACCAACGAAGGGAAAAGGGCAAGTTTTGCCATCACCCCGGATGGAATCCAATGTAGAGACCCGACCAAATAGAATTGACCCTTCCAAGGGATGTCCCACCTAGGAAAGGTGAACAGGCCAACCTCCACCCTTCTGACAGATGTCCCACCCAGGAAAAGGAAAATGTCAACCCCTCACCTTCCAACCTTTAAAACTCGCATCTGCCTGAACCCATGTGCTGGCTTCCTTCTTGAGCTCAGCTCACCTATACCGGGTGGGAAAAAAGGCCGGTGTTGCCCAAACAGAGCCTGGACTCCGTTTCCTTTCATTGATGTTTCAGAATCATCTTTTATTTTCAGCCTTTGACTTCTCAATCCCTACACTTCCAATTTACTAATTCTTTCTTGAACTGTACCTAACATGTTTTTAACCCTATTCACTGGATTATTAATTTCAGTTACTATCTTTCCATTTCTAGAAATGTTATTTGGAGTTCTTTTTCCAAATCTGGTCGTCCATTCTTTATTTATTTATTTTTTTTGAGACAGAGCCTCAAGCTGTTCCCCTGGGTAGAGTGCTGTGGCATCACAGCTCACAGCAACCTCCAACTCCTGGGCTCAAGTGAGTCT